AAATTGACTTATGAGATCACGATATGGAATTTAGAAACTTTGTCGATTGGAATTGTAATTTCGAACCAATTCAAATTGGGTTAAGTGACGATGATGAACTATTAGGATTAGGAATATCTGCAAACGCATCCTTAACTTATTTATTCATTTTTTCCACAAAAACAGGGATGAATTTATCAAGACGTAAGTTTTGCTCGACACTGACACTGACAATATAACGTAATCATATCGATGAGCTCAAATTTATTAACTTAATTTGACCTGGCGATACGTTATTTTGCAGTTACAGCAGTCGTGAAGTTTTAAAGTTTAATTATTAGATGATAAAAGTTTATCAATTTCATAGGTACTTATAAAGAATTGGTAATGATTGATGGAATTCACTTTATTGCTTCCAACATTGGTGAGCGTGTACTTATCACATCACGTGCACATGGTAGCTCAGAATGGATCAAAATGGACCTTAATGTTCATAGATTTCACGATAAAGAAAGAACTTTCAATTATGAATTAATGGATCCTTACAGTTTGGTAAATCCTGTCAATGCCAATGAACTTTTTGGTTGTTTGAGGGCTAAAATTAAAACGCCATACATAATTAAATCAGACAATATTATTTATGCAAATGATGAATTATTATTTATTGAAAAATTGGTAAAAGATAACTGGGTTAGTTACTTGAGGAATGATTTGAGTGATTACAACAAAATTTCAGCACCTTTAGGTAGAAGTGAAATTATTGATTTTATAAAAAAAGGTGGTTATGGAGTTAAAGTACCAGGAATTAAGCTTTTTGAACGTGGAAAGGAGGAAAAAGAAATGATAAATACATATGAAGGACATTTGATAAAATGGACTTGAAAATGTAAATCTGCCTTATTTACACTTGAAGCATCTCGAAAGAAATCTGAAACGTCTGAAGAAATTGAATGGGAATCAGTACATAAAAACTATCAACAAACATTAAATTTATACGTAAGGAAATGTAAAAAACTTGAAAATGATGATCTTTTCATGATAACAGGAAAATATATATTTCTTTGGACATTTAGCCCACTCAAGGGTATAAGTGCGCATTACATTTGGGGTGTTGGCAGAAAACTTGCAGACAAAGATTTGGAAGAGATATTTAACAATCCTTTGGCAGAAAGATTTCTTCCGCAACCTGACTTTGATGGAATTATCAAAGCGGTTAATAATGAACCAGATAAAAATATCTCTAATTTATGTAATTTGTTATTGGAAAATTATATTGAAGAAAAAATTTTTTTAGCATATTATGGGAAAATTCTTATGGAGAAATTTTTATTTTTAAATCAGGACTGGTTGATTGAAAAATTATGCGAGAGTTGTATTAACAACTGCACTTATAATGACAAGGATGGCTGTTATTTACCAAATATTTGGTTACTAAGTATTATTGCTCAATTTTATTCAGAATTAACTCAAAAGAATCCCGCAATCGTGTATAAATTTTTATCACAGATGACATTTGTGGTTCCTTCTGTTGAGAATTACGATCGATACTATATTTCTTTATCATCATCACCTCATCTTCACCATTATGGTTCATATTATAACTTTTATAAGACAACTAATATTAATGTACTTTTTATTATTTCTAAATATTGGTTTATCTTTAAAAATAATTACAAAACTTTATTTTCTTTTATTCAGAATCGACTTCTAAAGCCATTCACAGATTATTATAGAACTTACTATTTAAAACACAACGCAACAATCAAATTATTATTTCCTTTACCCAATTTTGTTAATTATCCAAAACCTTTCAGTACATTGGCAGAGTTATGGAAGCCTGAATCCAGCATCTTTACAAAATCAATTGATTTGGAATTATACAAGACTTGGAATGGAGAAGCTCTTTTAAACTTCAAGTGGAATACTTATGGAAAATTTTATTATTTCTTTATCTGGATGATTTATACTATTTTTCTTTGTTGCTTTGCTGGTGTAGCAACTTTATCAAATGAAATATCCTGGAATAATCAACAAATTCTTTTAATAATCTCTATTTTACTTGGTTTATAGCATTTTATTTTTGAGTTTCGTCAGTTTATTTATTCTCCTATACTTTATATTACTTCTCCATGGAACTATGTTGGTAATTACAAATTTTATTGTTTGCTTATGTTTATTTTATAGTATTCTTACTTTATTTTATTTTACTATAAAGATTTGGGAGCTATTTTACTTCCAACTATAACTTCAATTATATGGCTTAAGGATTATACTGCACCAACTTGGGCAATTATCTTTTCTACATTGTTGCTTGAATTAAAATTTCTTACTTATTTCCGTGCGGTTGAATATGTTGGTGTTTATTTTGCAATGATGATTGGTGTGGCTAAAAGAGCCTTTTTGTTTATAGTTATATTAGCATTCATTGTGTTTGCTTTTGCACATTCTTTACACATCTTACTAAGACCTGTCACCAATATATCGTTGGATTAGCCAAGTTATTCGAATGATCCAAATAATCCTTGGAATTTAGTAACAAAGTACTATACTGTAAATTCGGATGGTTCTATTAGTAAAGACCCTTTTCTTATTGAACCTCCAAATACAAGTACAAATATGTTTTCAACACTAATATCTGCAGTTTTAGCTGTTTATATTATGCTTACAGGTAATAATCTAAATCAAATTATGCTTGATAATAATCTTTTGATATCTAATACTAAGTTTTTAATTATAATATTCAATAGGAGATACATCTTCTTTGTCCCCTTGGGCTTTAAATGAGGATATAACTTTAACTATTCTTGTAGTTATATTTTCTTTTTTTACAACAATTTATTTGATGAATTTGTTTATTGGATTACTTAGTGATGCAATAAATGAGACTAATAATAAAGAATACTTTTTAATTCAACGGGCTGAGGTTGGTTTGTTTTAAATTATCATGTTTGTATAATATCTTAAGGAATATAATATCTATTCAAAAATCTTGAAGTTTGAAAATTTGGTATATTTGTATAGTTTATTAGGTTAAGATTTAATAACCGTAAATTTATTAATATTTCTAAAGGTTTTAACTGAGATCGAACTATTTTATATGCTACCATATCAAAGAAGAAAATATAATTGGTTTCCAAATACTATGTAAGTATAATATAATTAGTTGTTATAATTAATTAAATAATTTTAATTCTATATATTGTTATATATTTAAATAGTTTTTATGAAGTGCATATACATAAACTATGTGATCTGATTAGAGATATTAAAGCTGATAAGTGGATAACTTTAGAAAAGCCTTATATTTCTTCTTTAATTTTTAAAATTATTCATCAAGAAGATAAATTAAAAACTGGAATAAGTAAAATTACTGAAAGCAATCAAATTACTGAAATCAGTCAAGATGTTGAAATTAGTCAAGATGCTGAAATTAGTCAAATTAAAAAAGATTTAGAAGATTTAACTAGCATTAAAAAGGAGTTAGAAGATTTAACTATTTTTAAAAAAGGGTTAGAAGATTTAACTAGCATTAAAAAAGAATTAGAAGATTTAACTAGCTTATTTGACAACTTCAAAAATGAAGTTATAACTAAACTAAATAAGTCAGAATCAAGTTAAATTGTAAATATTATATATTTATTTTTGATATTTTATAAGTAATTTGATAAAACTTAAAATTTAACTAAAAACGCAAATATTAAAAAATTATAATTAACAAATTATACAATAAACTGTAAAAAAATTTAAGCACAAAATTCAGCAAATATATATTGGAATAAATAAAAATTTAAATTTTTGCTAAACAAATAATTACAAAGAAGCAATTTATTCAAAAGTAAATTTTTTAAAATCTAGTTAATTATTGTATAATTATGACCTTATATAGTTGTTTTGTCTTTTCGAGAAATTGATATTTGTTTTATCTTTAATCAGCACTTTTAATTTAATTTTTTTAAGTTGCTTTAAAAAAAATAGAATATTTTAATAGCAAATTATTGTTGAATTTGATCAAAAAAATATTTGGGTGCATGAGAGTGAAAACCTATAACCAACCATAGTAAATCATTAAATCTATTTCCAGGTTTTCGCTCTCACGCACACATTTAATTTTTTCTTTATGTTAATAATTGTTTAACTATATTTATTAATGAATTTTCTAGCATATTATATTGTCATATTCGAATTTTACCTTCAAAAAAAAATTCAAAGGATGGGTTGGTTATAATATAAAAACTATAACTTATACAGTGCGCGACACTTAAAGACTACAATGTCCCATTTTGAGATTCGTCAAGAGTTGTTACATAGTAAAGTCAAAATTTTACTATGTAAATCGATATTTGCGTATTAAGTAAAGTTGTTCAGAAGATCAAAATATATACAACTTTTATTAATAAATAATTGCATGTTACAAAATAGGCTAAATTTTTTAATAATGTTTAAAAATCAGTTCGCACAATCGAAATATGCATATTTGCATTAACAAATATTATATCATTTAAGTATAATTTTCAGAATATATGTAATTAGATCTCCTGAATAACTTTACTTGGTTACGGTATGATTTCCCGAAAGCTATTTCCCCAACATGTCACCTACCCGATATCACGCAGGTGACAATTTGCTAAAAATATATATCTACAACTAACAAAATGCTAACCCT